TCCAAAAAATTAAGAGAGTAGCTCTAAATTTGTTAGTTATTTATGCTGAAGTTTATTTTGCATCTGAGAATTGAGTTCACATTTATTTCCAAGAAGCTGCAAAAAGATATGAGTATATATATATATATATGTATATACTTTGAGAATCGCGTCGCTGCAACTGATGATGACTATCCGAGGCGGTGACTGGATCGGCTGTTATCGGTGCGGTGGAAGCTACAGAACCTAAGCTCCCTATACTACCCATAGAACCCATACTTCCATGAGATCCCAAGGGTGCGGTTGTAGCTGCGGTTCTATCTTCCACCGGACTACCGACCTGAGAGCCCGACATCGAGCCCCGCGAGGCAGTCTTCGTCAACATGCTCGGAGGTCGACAGTAAACCTGCAGATGTTGTACATTTTAATTGATCGATCGGTCTCAATGGCTTAATCGCTCGCGCATTTACACGCACCTGCATCTTCGATGTGACTAAATCCGCGATGTGACGTCGATCCTCTTCCTGAGAGTCGCCCATTAAGGATAGCGCGCTGTCGTTGACCTCGATAATGTGCTCCCGCCCGTCCTTGCCCACCAGTAATTCAATCGCGCAGATAGCCAATCCTCCGAATAGTTGCGCCACGTGGTCGACCCATGTGCGATGTCGCTCGCTCACGGAAAGTTGCTCCAACATCGCTGATCCGGTGTTCGATTTCCAGTTGCCGCTTATGCTTTTCCGCCTTTAGAGAGATATCAATTAAATTTGACAGAAAAAATTTGACCCAAAAATTCGAAAGAGTGTGTGTTGTTGCTTTTAAACTTGCTCTTTCAAGAAAGTTTTGAGATATTTTATAGAATTATTTAAATTCTTCCGAATGTTTAATTTTCAAAGTGTTATGCAACAAGTAAACGGGAAAGAATCAAATTCGGCCAAAGTTAAAAGTTGGTTGCCCAATAATATTTTTGATGTTTAAATCTTTTAAATTTCAACTAACATTAACTGCATGTCAATTACTGTCGGTCTTTGAGAACGCAATTATAACTTAAAATTGAAATACTATCATACATTAAATTAATCTTCAATTCGATGGTGATGCCATAAGCATCCCCTAAAACACTGTAAAGAACAAAATGTTATGCTCTTTTGCCGTGTACTTTGATGACTTACATGAAAGCCTTGTAATTGTTCCCGATTTTCTGCACGTGCACGTCGTACTTGGTGTCGATGTAGGGTTCCGCCGTGCAGTAAGTGTTTGCCATAGCTGCCAACGAAGCGAGATCTAGAAATTCCTGATTTGTTTCCGCACGGGCTTTGCCGGTTCCGCCGTGGGCGTGGCCCAATTTCACCACGACGGGATATCGAGATGCGCTCACCTGCAATCGGAATAGATAATTGCTCCGTGAGTCGTTAGGGAATAATTAAGTGTGCGAGCATCCTGTCAATGATCATCTCCCTCGTAATTGCCACCGTTCAATTCGTAATTTCTGCCCAGCATAATGTATATTATTGCAATTCGCTCTATGCATAAGTTAAAACACGAGCAGAATCTCATTTATTATCTGAACACGTTGTCAATTATGTATTTTTCATTTTTATAATGAAAAATGCCACATTTAATGTAAAAAATTATGTAGATAGCTATGAATCTGTTAAAGTATTTAAAGATATATTTGTAAATATATTTTATACCTATCGTTGTAGTGCATTGCATGATTATTTTTAACGTTCAAAACATATTTTATTTAACGTTATTTGACAAATAGGTGTAAATAAAATAAACTGAGAAATGAATTTAAATGGCGATACAATTTGTAGAATAAATGTCACGAGGCAGAACTTTATTAACAAACCAAAACTCAATTTAAATGTAATATTTTTGTATCACTTGCCGATAATGCTATATTCCTTCAATTTGAATAATGGCAAAATAATTTACTTTCATATCTATTATGATTAAAATGTTATTTTCTATAAAATATTCAAAAATTATCTTATCATTCAATTTTATGATATTATGTGATGTGAATTTAATATTTAATTATGCAAGAATGAGATTTTAATTCAATTATTTCTTCGTTATAATAAACTAATCGTAAATGTCACTTTATTTCACATTAATCGAATTAGTAAAGAAGATATAGCAAGAGACATACGCCTCTCAGAGTATCCCGTTATAGATAACCGTGGAATTTCTTGATGCGATAGAAGAAGACATAAACGCGAGAACTTAAGTGCATACGTTGCTTGTTGAATCGGATTCGTATGATATTTATTAGATCCCTGTTATATTTTCCATATTTTCCATATCAATCTATCTTAGGTACTTCCCATTGCTTTTTACGTATCTAATTATTTATCATTTTCTCTATTGCCTATTAAATTATTCTTATTATTATATATAATATAAAATCATAAAAAAAGTAAAATTATCAAGTTAAAATTTATACTCGCGATTCTGAACTATAATAAATTGCAGTTGTGAAAAAGAAAATTTTAATTACAAATTTCAAGTATGTAATTAATTATCATTTTGTCCGTTAAATTGCTACCATACATAAAATAAAATTGACATCAAGTAATACTTGAATTTTGATCTGAATTTTAATAAATAGTACTAAACGTGAAAAAAAAATTACAAATTATATCAGATATTCTATAAATTATTAATATAATGTTGTAATAAATAATACACACACAATAATTAATAAAATTTATAATATATATATGTACATATAATATTATTATTAGCAGCTATCCTCATAATGTTGAGGCAAACATAAATCACTTTGTTAGAGTATTATGATTTCTCTAACCACTTTGCATAGATGGGCGAAAAATAACATTATCGTTTTGTCGTAGCAACTTTTTCTCCGTGTGGTTAAAATATAAATTACATTTAAATATCCCTTTAAAATACGATTAAATTTTATTATATTTAGATATACCGTGTGACTGTTTTATCCATCTTATTATGTCATAGTTTGCGCGATATATAGAGTTAAAAGTAAACGTGATATTTCAAATCGATTTATTCATTTTGGGCCATATCGGTAAGTTACCGCTCTCGCTAATCAATAATTTTTTGCCACTGCGAGAACGGAATCTCTACTAAAATAGTGCGTACCTCGCCGTTAACGATCTGTTTACAAGCGGTACGAACATGAAAGAGGAAGTGGCTGCTTAGTATCTTGCTCCCATGCTAGTTGAACGGCCGTATCCGGGCCCAATCTCCGGCGATATACGTAATATTGCATGGCGTGATATGAGAGTGTTAAATCTGCTCGTGTGAGAGCACATGCGTTCGTATCGGCATGTGGGTGTTAAAGAAGTGCTTTCTGAGCACCGGTTGAAACGCATATCGCTGCACGCACGTTGGAAAAGGAATGGCGGACGGCCTGAAAGTGCCATGCGACTGAGAGAAACAAATAGAGAAAGAGGCTTTGCTATAAGAAGATTATAAGCGATTAAAAAAGACATACACTGTCGCTATTTATTTCAATATTATTATCGCGATGTCAACGTTACTCGCGCGCAAGTTGTTGAAGCGTACGTCGACAAAAGAATTACGTGCATCAAGGGAAAAAAGGATTTAATTGCGATTACTGACGTGGGAGGTACTGACGAGTGAGCGTTTGATGGCGAGATGCACGGGCGGATGTTTCGATCTTAAAAATAATAGAAGATGAAGGGATAAGAGGCGAACGCCAGAGATGTCTGATCGAAGGTGGCGACTGTTGCAGCGAGGAGATCTCGAAGTGATCTTGAAGCCGGCGGACATGACTCTAGGCAACGGATGTAGAGTGCGGTAGGTAAAAGCTCTTACTGTGCGGACGGGGGAGAGGGGGGGGGGCGAGAAGAACGACAGAGATAGAGCAAGTGAACGTCGATAGTAGAAGCGGTGTTCACAGTACAGGACTTAGAGAGAGTATAAGCTTAGATGTAACGCGCGTAAGTCTCGAGACAGGCTGAGATAATCGCGTAGTGGATTTTCAAGGTGGCCTTCGAGGTATCGCGTTGAAATCGTCTTTTTCTCATATCAGTTCTTTTTAAAATACCGCAAGAATGCGCGCGTGCGCGCTTTCACAGTGGCGTCTGTTGTGTAGAATACAACCTAAGAAGAAGACAAATAGATCCTAAATGTCACAAGCTTGATCAAGCAAATACGCAGAACTATGAAATTGGAAATGATTTGAGGTCATCCTCAGAAGTGAAGTGACCTTCATGAATCATACTGTCGAGCTTGTCTCGATTATGAATACGACCGTACGAAAGAGGGACAGAGAAGAGCTCTTTGCTAAGGCAGAACGCGTACATATTATGTGTTCCAAAGAGCAAACGGAGTATTAATGAATTAATCGTGCGTTCGAAACGATTTACAGAGAAAGAGAGATATCTCAGATTGATATGAATTTTCTAGGAAAGTTATTTGCAGTTCTCACATTTTAAATTGAATATATGTTTTCTCTTTAATCATCAGAAAATATCAGCATTTCAAAATATTATCTTGTCCCAACGAACTCAATTTCTGACGGAAAATCACGTGCGGTATATTCCCCGCTCGTAAACCGCTGCGGGAGATGAGCGGATTAAATTAAAACTGGAGCAATCGGTGGCGGCATTGATTTGAAGACAAGGACGAATCATGAGAGAGATGGAGAACACATATTTGGAGAAAGAGGAGAAGTGAAAAAGGCTGAAAGATTTGTAATTGGTAGGAGCAAGAGGCGAGTGCGAACGGGGAGATCGGGGACTATCGGACGAGGATGGTCGTGTCTCATCGATGGAGCGACGGAGAGAGAATGAACGACGAGGATGGTGAACGTCGGCATCGGAGATCAAAAGAGAGAAAGAAGCGACGGGAAACAGAGAGAGAGAGAGAGACAGAGAGAGAGAACGAACGATGGCGAGAACGAGTGTACACGCCGTCCAGTGGAGAGGGAAGGAGGAAAAGAGAGACCACGAGGTAGACGGACAGGGAAAGCCCTGGGAGAGAGGGACGGGCAGAGAGCACGAGCCAGGAGCCCGACGTAAGAACGTAGGAAGGAACGAGAGCCCGGCGTGTCGCTCGCGCTTGCATTGCTTTTCGAAGCTCGCGCGCGATCGGTCGCACGCTCGCGAGGTATACCTATATAACGTGCGTGGTGCTAAGGCTCGTGAGAGACGTAGGCGCACACGTGGATAGAGAGAGAGTGAGAAGGGGAGAGAAAATCCCCCGCGTTCCGCGCTTTCTCTCTCTCTCTTCCTCACGCGATCGATGTTATCTCGCGACGGGGAACCTTCTTCGTGCGCGCGAGAAAGTGGCCGGCTCCTCGAGATCAAGATCGGACCCGCGGAAAAGCGCGAGTGCAGTACTCTCGGCGGTATCGATCGGTCCCGCAGTTTCGATTCGGTGATTATTATGTCCGTTGATCTGTGAGATCCAGCACGCAAACACGAGACACGAAAGAGGGAAAAAGGCGGAAGAGATTGATTGCGCGGAAGAGAATTTATATACCGGCGGAGATTTCAAGAACAGGGGGGTCACCGCGGAGAAAGGTAATCTGTTATACGCTGCACTGTCGGATTTCCGTGATCGCGCATATGTTTCACAGTGCGCTATCGTTTCTATAATACGTAACTTCCGGACGAATGCGTCGCGAATTGCAGAGGAACAGAGAGCTTGAGATTCAGTTTGAGGTTCAATTTGCGCGATGGAACGGTTTGAAATTTATAATCATATTATAGATGGAATTGAGAAGTATGAACTCGAAGTTCACATCTCTCTCTACAAACGAGTTTGCGAAAATGGAGATATCTGACGAAATATAAATTAAGAGTGTTTTAGGATTTAACATTATTTGAAAAAAAAACGTATAGAAAGCTATTCGAATACTTCATATTTAAAAATATATTTCCAGATATTAGGAAAAAACGTGATAAGAAACAATTGTAGGAAGATTGAGAAGAAGAGAACTCGTGCGATATTTGCTTGATCGCGTATATTTCCAGTGTCATCGTATAATTCTCATAATCGTGTGTCCGGAACGACAACGTAAGACCGACTGACTGTTTTCCGCTTTGCCTTTTGGCTGTCGGGTCGATCACTTCCTTTCGGCGTGATTACAATGTGTATCTGTTTACGTGTACAGTATAGTAGTATATATACCTTTTATATCATGTGCCTGTCCTATTGTATTTATTACTAGACAATCCTTATTTAAATAAACGTCAATTTTGTTTGTCTCAATTTATTCATCTACCCAGAGAGTAGCGACATTTATTTATATTTGAAGTATAATATGGAATTATACTGTGTAATATCTCTTTTTAATAATTAACAAATCTATTTCTATATATAATAATCATAGAAACGTTTTTAATATATTGAAATTGTCATTCGCAGAAATCTAAGTTTAACAAATTGAAAAGGAATCCATCGATTTCCATCAAGATTTAGCAAATTTTAAGAAATATAACAGAAATAAGACAAATCGAATGATTGGAGGAAGTAAAACGCGGCACCCAACCAGGTTGAACAAATAGTACGCCTGAATGTGTGTGGTCAAACGAGTCGATCTTATGAATGTCGATCCATAAAGGGTTGAACCGGGACTGCCGTACGATAAATAGTACCCCGTAGAGAATTCATATAGTAAACATAGAAGAATATATAAGACAAATAGACGAGTGATTTCTTGATATATTATATGAACGAACATTTAAAGAAACATAATTTTTGCTGATATAAAGATATTAAACAGATTCTTAACAATGGTTATACGATATCAGTCGTATTTTAAAATTGCAATAGGATCTTCGTAAATAATTGCGAAAATTTTTTATACGACTATCTAATTTCAATTTATCAAGATCGTCTTAAAACAACACATTTAAAGAAAGATAAAAGAAATACGATGTGCAGATAAAAGTATTTTAACAAAGGTACGTGGTGATGCTCTTTCACGATAAAATTCTCATCCTTCAATTTAAGATCAGCTTTGAGAGCCACGCCGCGCCTTCACGCGCGATTCATAAATAATGACGTCATCTGCAATTACAATTTGCGATGATACGTATATTCATCGTGCGAGTTGACGATTAACACAACGTCTTGGACGCGCGCGCGTTTATGGCTCTCGCGCCATTGATGAATGTTACGGGAGGGATCGTTTTCCAGCAATTGATACTACTAGTAAACGATTAAAAGCCCATTAGTACATAAAATGATAGAAAAGCACGAAGGGACGCGTGTAAATTGCTGTAAATTTTCCATTCGCGGCAAAGAACAACTTCTGACATTAATGATCATCGGGCGATCTATCGGCGCGCATTATAGACATTAAATCTTTTCCCCGACGAATTAAAATCATGCACGTAATAACCAAGCGTCGGCTGTTTCGGCCTGCGCGCTCTTTGCGAGAATTACGATCTCTGTCTCTCTCTCTACGCTCTCCGCGCAATTACTTCGCTAGCCTAGCGCGATAAGCTGAAATTGAATTGTGCGCCGTTGATGACGCTGTCGATTGGCGCCTAAGTTTAGCCCGCTTCTGGGAAAGCAATTTCAATAAACGGGCCGTAGGAAAATATGAGAGCGCATGTTCGAGCGACCCGCGCCTCAACAAGCTGAGTCCTACTCCTAAGTACATATGTACCTATCCGCGCTTACAACGAGTTAACGATCGATTCTCCCACGTGAGTCGTGGGTGACTATTTTCCTGGCAACGGTTCCAGCCTGCCCAGCATCCGAAATAACGTATTGCCGTGGAGCGTTTCGTGTCTCGCGAGGCGCAATACGAGAAAATTGTTCGGCTGCCAAGGGGACGAGGCGTAGGTATATACGGCGCGAACACGTTTCACGTGATACGTCTCCGGGGACAATTTTAATCTCGAAGGTATACACATGTTTTAAACTGCACGCGTATTTCATTTGGCGCATTCCTTTTTTTTACTTTTATTTTTCTACCAATTAGACTTCATTGCGAGCGAGACATTGTCTTTTTATGGCTTAAATTATAAGCGTGCTTGGTAAGATATTTATTTATTTTTATTTTTCTACCAATTAGACTTTATTGCAAAGTGGCATTATCTTTTTATGACCTATTAAACTGTAGTAAAAAAAAAAGGTACACTTGTTTTTTCACGACCAAATTAGTTTCAAGATAACTTTCTCGCGTGGCAATGCGTCGAGATAAATTCGCAGTCGCCCCGACGTGACACACTGACATATCGACCTTCGCGTATTTCCGTGCAACAAGGCAACGAGTGCACGGCACCGGTGCGTTAATACGCTCGGAGGTTGTTCGATCGATCGGAGGAGAGCGTGCTCCGAGATGCGGGCTAAATAATTGCCGTTCGCCATTCCGGCCGAGTACTATCGCGGATCGCGGTCGAATCCCATCGATTTTTCGCGACGCGACCGCGGCCAACTCTCATTGTGCGCGATTACGCACAAGAGCGGGATATAATTCATCGTCGTGGCACGCCGTAAATGCGCCCGCGCCTTATTTTTCTCTCTTTCCTGCCGTGTATAATATTACGTTTATTACGCGTTACTTCTCGATACGATACACGACTGGCCGATGTGTGGCGCCAACCGGCCGGCCACTATACGTACATGTGCCGCACGCATTCCGGTGTACATTTGCGCGGGATAGGTGCTATCGCGCCGAGCGTTTTATTTCCTTTCAAGGGATATACGTAGACCGAGTGTCCCCCTCGGTGATCCAGCCAGATTAGAAGCCGCGGACCGAGTATTTATATAGCCGCGTGGTACTCCTCGTGATTGCGCAGGTACGAGAACGCGCGAGGAATGCACTTCGGGGAGGATCATCCCGAGAGCTGCGATCGCGCGACGGATCGCCGGCGAAATATCGTGCAGCGATCGACTCGGACTTTTGCTTTTGCTTTTGCGCGTGGCGCAATATCGCCGTCCTTTTCCCCGTTAATGACTCGGCTATCGATTTTCAATAGGTCTCGATATTTATATTCACTCTTCTCGATGTGTTCCATGTTTCATTAACTTTTACTATACTCTGTTCCCAAATATCTTTCACGTTTACATAAATTATTCCACGTTACTCCTCGTATTCTATTTAACGATGTATTTGCGACGCGACAGGAGATTATTAAAACATGACACTTTACACGCTCTCTATTTATCTGTTATTTTGGTTTTGAATTTGCCGTGCTATAACGGTACAAAATTTCCGCCTGTATCTTACACGAGCGTATATGCATGAGCTGTCTGATAAATTACGGAAGTTGGTTGGCTTCGATCCAGTGCCTGCATGGCGATACATCCCGTCTAAAATTGAGATCTTGTTGAAATGCAATAGAGACTCTTAATTCAATCGCTTAACTTGACGACGCGGTCGGTCTCGCTAAGTCGCGTTATACAGTTTGCCCCGGCGACGTACAAACGATGCCAACCATTGTTTGGATCTGGAGGAGCTTCTTATCGCGCGAGATAATTTCAATCGTACCACTCTCGGCAGCGGCAGCGGCAGCTACGCTCCGGAGGATCGCAGACTGCATTTCGCCGGCGAGCGATATCCTGCCGCGATAAACGCGCGATCATTTGCCGGAGAGATACCGATCGCACGGAGGAGGAAACGATCCCACGCGCCTCGCGTAATAAAACGACCATAATGATCCGCGCGCCCAGTGACGGGCCGCGGTCGGCGCGCCGCGAGAGGCGCCGCGGAATTAATATCTGCGCCTCGGCACAAGAAAGCGCGAATGAATGGTGTCGCGTGAAAATGCCGCGACCTCCGCGTCTTTCCATCCGGAAACACCCCGCGGCGTGCCGTAGTTCCCACAACAATTAACCGCGGTTCAAGAACCTTCCTCCGTCGCGAACTCTACGCCCGCTAATGAGCAGAAAGAGGAGCAGCCGGTAAACGGCGGCAGTTCTCGACATCAAAAGCAAGTGTTTGTCGGAAAGTCGATTACTTCTAAATATTTAAGAATTTTGTAAAAGACTGTAGAGGGAGCGCTGACCTAGCTGTTTTATTAATAACAATGAGGACAAGACAAAATAAAAACGTAATTAGCATTGAATACTCCGTCTAATAACGTGCATCGCGAATGTTCGCAGTCTATAAAGTGAGCATATATAATAGGTGACAATTAGCTTAACCGAGTTATTGAATCAACTAAACAGGTTTCTGATGTGTGTTCGCTAAATATCAACCTATCACGTCTTGTCACTCAAATACTAGCCGCGCGAGTAAACATGGAAAAGTAATAAAAAAAAAGGCGAATTCCATTGACATATATTACAGAACGATAAAATACGCCGGAATCGCGTGGATAGTTCTCGTAAACGTTAAGTGATCGTGTCGCAACCTGAGGAAATCTCGAAAATGTTTACTATGTGTTAAGTGGCTCTTAACACGAGTGTCATAAAATGTCGAATTAAATCGTGCCGTTATTAAAAACTCGGCGAAAACGACGCAGAAGCTCGTGTGTCGTTTTCATTTAAATGACAAACATATATGAACATCCGCGCGTTTTTTTTTCCCCCGCGCCAAACAATTCGGCGATAAATTTACGCTCGCGCGAATTATTATCCGTGACCTCGCGACGGCGCGTGTAATTCGTTTACGGCCGCGAATTATGAAGCCGCATCTGTTATCTGCGGTACCGTTATAATATTCCCGGAGGTGCGGACATGTGTTTCCATGTGTGCGCTGCACGTACTACGTAAGATGAATCTCCGCCGATGTGCACACGCGGTCGCGCAAAATGTTAATAAATGTCCAGCGGGCGTTCGGGCACTATCGAAGGCCGAGCGGCTGTACGTACGGGGAGGTAATGGGATATCTTCTCCTGTAACCGAGTTCCTCATTAAACAGTTAACGGTGCCTGATGCCAGCTAAATCCTATACGCCGAGCTCAATCTAATTCTATCCCCGTGTAAGTACGGAACAATCTCGTTACAACTTCGCGCAACTACAAATTGAGTTTGTGTGAATACAGGTGAATTGGTGCGGGCATCGGTTCGGAATTAACTCAATCCTTGTAGAATTTAGCGGTGACAATGTGTTCCGGGGACTGTATATTGTAACGGTCCGTTAGGAATTATGAAGCCGCCCGTAGGTATATTTCCGTACACGGTTATCCAGGTTATACTGCGAACATCACCTGTAAAAGTTTCGAGGAGTTTCGAATATGTTTTATATTTTCGCACGGAAAAAACAATTTTGCTGAATCCAGATCTGAAAATAATTTTTGTTCAATAATCAAAATATTTTAAAT